TATATATATATATATATATATTAATAAATCTAAATTGATTACAAGATCCTGAAGATCTACAATTGATTATAGAGATCATGATATCAATTTTAGCTTTCACCTTTCCCTTTTCTTGACACGTGTTATAAAAAAAAAATTATTGCTTAAAAGTTGAAATTTCAAGCATTTTCTATGTTATATATCTGAGGAACAAACTCAATTAAATAAAGCAAAATAGAGCAAGTCAATTAAAGATAACAGAGAGAAAAATAGAGCAAGTCAATGACACTATTATTTACGTATAGGAGTTTCACCAAATAGGAGAATGGAATGGGAACAATAGTACAATATTATATATGAGCAATAGTGTAGTATTATTAGCATTTAAAAAAAATGGAGAAGACATGAGCATAAAAAAATAGAAATGAAAAACTTACTTGGAAATTCTTCAAGCACTTAAAAAGTCACTTCAAACAATCCTCCAAAATCTAATGGGTTTGGATGAGATTGTTTTATGAATTTGGTATTTGTAGATACCACTAAATTAAAATCCTTCAAAATCTCTCTAATACAACATTCCTTTAAAATTCCTATATTTTTGAATACCAATGAATTATTTTTAAGTTGTAAAAAGTATCAAATGAATACCAATGGATTTTAATGGAATCTACTTTAAAAACTCTTGAAAATCCAGATTGAATATTACTAAATTATTTTTAAGTGACATAAAATCCTGATTGAATACCAATAGACTTTTTTACTCAAAAAAAGTCTTTTAAAATCCTATGAAATCCTAAATCAATACACCTCCCTTAAAATATGAGACACGTGTGACAACCCTAGCTGCTATTCTTTATATAGGAAACTCTAAAAATCCTAACCCACATTTAATCCTTCGATACCAATTAACCAAAATTGCTCTTTCTATCCTTTAATGATTTAAAATTTATAGATAAATAATTGCAATAAACATATCTCTTTAAATAAGATAAAACTTATAGGTAAATATGTATTTAATTCATCAAATTTAGAGTAAATTTGTTCATAGTCTCAAATTTTAAAATATTATTTTTAGTCTCTTTAATTTTTAAAAATCTTATTTAGTCCTTTAGGTCACCAATAACATATTTAAAAGTGATAGATTATTGAGACATTTATGTTATATCAGTTCAGGTTAATATAATATTTTTACTAACAAAATTTACTAGTAAATAGATTTTTTGTGATAGTATTTGATAAATTGTCTAACAAAATTTTAGTATAAGAACCAAAACAAGATATTTCGAAATTACATGAACTAAAAGGACTAATTTTAAATTTAAGAGACTAAAAATAAATTTATCTTCAATTTGAGGGACTAAATATATTTAAGTCTTTTTTCTTATATAAAACATTCTTATCTATAAAATCTCTCGATTAATTAATTAAAACTTTATTTTTTAAAAAAAATTTAGGGTTTTGCAAAATTCACATAATGTATCTTTAGACGAGGGGTTGAAACATTGATTTAGATCTAAATTAAGTTTGTGAATATATAGAATTATGTTATTACTAGTTTTAAATATCTCACTATGATTAATATTAATTAATTAAATAAATATAATCGTTGATTATGAAAGTTAATCAAAGCTTTAATTTTCCTTGATTATAACTAAGTAATTAAAACAAAGGTTTCCCTTAAAAAAAAAAACAAAGAATTTATTATATCTTCAATAATTTTGCACAAAATATTTTACAATCACTAATTAGCGCATCAATCAACTACTATAAGACTTTTAATTATAATTTAATTAATAGTAATAAGTTTGAGTGTATACAATATTAAATATTTTTCTAAAAAATTCCTGTTTATAATGTTCTTATTTAGATGAACCAAGATCGTCTCCTCTAAACCTTAACGAAATTTTTTCACAAGGTGGGAGAGGTAGACGAGCGTGGGAAGGAAAGCGGTTCGAATTCATGTAGTGAGTGTTTGGAACAGGGTTTGTAAAATTAATTTTCATTTATTTTATTTATCAAAATTTTAATGACGATTAAAAAGTTAAACATATCAATGTGTTTAATAATAATTAAATAAATATAATTATTAATTAAGGAAGTTAATCTAATATTTAATTTTCTCTGATTATCTAAATAATAAAAATGAATAAGTTATTAATTAGAATTTATACAAAATATTTTATGTTCAATAATTTGCCCATCATTTAGCTGCCATTGTAGTGGCAGCTATGAAGACGAACTATAATATCTCTCAAATTTGATGTTTTAGCAGTTTCATTCTATGATACTTTATACAGTGATATTTTACACAATTTTTTATTGATCATAATTCTTCATTAATTAGAACTTTCTGTGAGTAACTCTTTTTAAAATGTTCGACCACCTCTTGGATTAATTAATGAAAGATATAATTTTTTTGATTAAATAAGTAATTAAAGCAAAAAAATCATTAACTTGATCTTTTGCAAAATATTTTACAACCATTTAACTCATGAATCAATTGATATGAAATTGTTATAATTTAACTAATAATATCAAATTTAAGTCATAAGTATGTATTTATGTTAAATATTTAAAGAAGTAATATTATTATTTAGAATAATCTTACATGATTTAAAGGATGGATCAAGAATTTTTTCCTAAATAATATATATCATTTGTAACAATAAAAATTCACAAGGTGAGAGAAGGTTGATAAATGAGAGAAGGAAAATAGTGTGTATAAAGGTTTGAAAAAATGACTTTAAATTAAATTAAATTTTAAGAAACGAGATTTGTATTTAAATACTTTTATCTAGAAAGCAAGTTTACTACAAAATTTAGTGTAGATTTTTTAAATGAATGACAAAAGTTGCCTTACTACATCTAGTTAAACCGATGTTTTGAGGAAAAGTTATTTTTACATTAGAATAACAAAACGTATATTTTTTAGATATTATTTGTTAACATCAGTTTTTTTAACTGTTTTTCTTTCACAATAACATCCTTAATAATTTTTAAAATTTTTTCTCTTTTGATGTATCATTTTGGTTATTTCTAAAGAAAATTTTAATATTCTTTTTTATCAATAATTAAAAATTTATTTTACAATATAAATAATTTATTATAAATTAAAAAATATGATTGTATAATAAAATATTTATTTATCACAAATTTTAATTATTATATAATTTATATATATTTAAATTTTTATTTATTATGATTTTTAGTTATATATAAATCAAAATATATTATGTGTATTGTATGAGATAAAATACTAATTTGATAAACCACCATCTTAGTGGTTAGTGATTTGTGATAAATGTATTGTTCTTGTTGTATTTTTTTTTTTTTTGATAAAAGATATTCTTTTTATTTTATAATACGTGTTGTGGTAGAAGAAAAAATAAGTGTTATATTAAATTTTCAATATAGTATTAATTAATTTTTTTTATATTTATAATAATATTATTTAGAAATGGATAGTTGTATTGCATTATTTCAAATTAAGAAGATCAATCAGAAAATTAATTTTATAAAATTAATATTTTATTTATTTATTTATTACGAATCATAGGGACTGATAGTTTGGTATATGACAGAAATTTTGTTCTTTTTTGTTTGACTTTTATTGTAGGCAAAAATTTAATTGAGAATCGCAATATCTTGCAACTTTGTTTTTTTCACTCTACTAATTTGGTAAATATTAACTAATCTGAACATAATGTATAAGTTGAATAATATATATACGTGGGACTCTCAAGTTTAAGAAGAGCACACGAACTTCTTTCTGCCTTCTCACAGGCTCCAGAATTGCTTCTAATTAAGAGACATAGGTTTGTAACATTTTCTGTTGTCTGTCTTTTTTTTTTCTTTTTTTTTTCCTCTTCATTTTCTTATGTCATCTTAAGATGACAATATACATACAAGAAAATATTCAATATACACTTTTTTTTAAAAAAAAATTCTTTCTCTATTTTCTTTTTGTTACTCAATGGATTTTGGTTACTCTTTTGGTTTTTTTTTTTTTCCTTTTATCACATCACCTGTTACATTAATTTCTTTCTTCTTTTTTCTTTTCACTATTCTATAGCATATAAGCACTTTAGATTTGTCTTGTTGAAAATTCTGAGTTTTTTTTAATTTCATTTTTATTTTGATTCATTGAAAAACCAAATGTTGTATCAAACACATCATTATCATTGATTTAGACGACCCATTGATATTTTTGTCACATTAGTTTTTTTTTTTTTTAATTTTATTTTTTTTACATTTAAGATCTATTTATCTACACATGGTCTTTCTCAAACTCCCACTATGTTATGTAATAAGAAGTACAATAGATCGAGATCTTATTGGGATATACTTCTGAATATATATATTTATATAAAAAAAATAATATAAATATTTTTTTTACATAAATCATTTTGTATAAACTCTCTTATTTATATTTAAAAAATTGATTAACCATTTAATAAACAAATTTTAATTATAAAAATAATTTATTTATTTTCTTTGTTTTTCCAGTATATAGTTATTGAGAAATTTATTCAAATAAACAATGTGTTAGAGAATTTTTTTTTAAAATTTAATGTTCAGATCTTTCGTTGGTTTGTGAGTGACCCATTTTCATTATTTTAGTGGATATAAAGTTTTTACAATACAAAAATTCAATAAATATATTTCCTTAAAATTTCAAGTTTTAATATATATATATATATATATATATATATTATTGAGAGAGAAAAATAAAAGAACTTTTGTTTAGAAAGTTACTTCCACTTCATGTGGAGCTTACATCATAATTAATCTATAGAATAAATAATTTTGTTTCTAAAAAAAGTATACTTATAATCATAAATAAAATAATACACTAATTCAGAGTAATATTTGAAATAATTAAAGAGTATATATTTAATAAATTTTAAGAATATTAAACATGATCAATAAGATGTATTGAATTTTAAAAGATTTTTTTAAAATAATTGTCATAAAAAATTTTAGTGTTCAATTGACACTTTTTAATAATATAAACAAACTTGTGGTAATATCACTGTTAACAATTTCATAAATTTTAATTGATCAACATTCAAAGAATCTATACAATTTTGTGTAAATGTTTTACAAGTTTTACTGTTATGTTAAATTTAACAATGTTTTTTTTTTATTTTTTTTTATTTTTACAAATTTAGTGTCCTTATACGGTAATTGTTTTTTCTTCGATGTAAGTAGACTCTCATATTCATTTGATAAGAAAAAAATAAAAGGTTTATCTATTAAAAATAATTTTAAAAAATAAAATCTTAAAAGTTATCATATATCGGTAATGTCTTGTTTTTTTTTTTTTTTTTAAAAAATTACAAAAATAGTTACAATTAGGATTGAACTTAGATATTTATGCTTCTAATTATTCAAATCTCTTAACACCCAACCACTAGACTGACCCTATTAGGTTTCTGTAAAATCTTTTGAAATTAAAAATAATTTTTCATAGTAAAAGGATTTTTTAAAATCTCAATCTAATTATTAATTAGATGCATCCTTAAAATTTAATTTTATTCTTATCCATCATTTATTCAAAAATAAAAATAAAATATTTTTCTATCTTTTATTATTTATTATTAATTGTTGTAATTATGCACAACTATTAACATTTATTTTTATCCAATCTAGATTCAGTGTCAGCGTGGTAGAAGTTACTAGATATTGTGAAGAAATCAGAGGACAATTTAGCTGCAAATATAAATCAGGTACTAATCTCAACTCATTTATTTCTTACAATTTGTTTATATTTTTCTGCATTTATTGTGAGTAAAAATCGTCCCAAAATTTTATATTATTGATTTTTTTTTGGACTAGACCCAAATCATATTTTACACGAACGTTATGTTTAGTTACCGAACTCCATCTGAATTAAAATTGTGTCATTAATTCCTTTTATGGCTAGTCCCCATTCCCCCACCTTCCTGTCTCAATTCAGTGAAGTCTTAAGGATTTTTTTTTTAATTTTTATTTAAATGATAAATTTTGTTTTAATATTAATCTTAAAAATCATTAGTAAAGAAATCTTAATAATCATTAATATTAAAAATCTTACAAATCATCAGCTATGCTCCAAGCTCATATGCCATTGTCTAATTCTTAAAAAAGTCCAAAAAATTTGACGTGTGCTAACTGTCAAGTGCCTATGGTTTTCAAGCCTTATTACTTGTCGTCTTTCCCTTCTACTATGATTCTTCGACTCTTCCTAACTAACAATACATGTTACTTTATTATATGGGCTGAAATGTGTCCATTTATTGTTTGGTAATAGTTTACATTCAAAACCAATTATAATTTATCTTTTAAATTAAAGCTAATTATAAAAATTAATAGTCTTATTTTACATTATCTATATGCATCGATAGATTTAAAAATTTTAGATAGCAAAATCAATATTTTTCATATATTTGTAGTATTAAAAATTTTATATATAACTTTTAAAAGTATAAATATATGTCATAATTATTTTTTACAAGTTTTTATATCTACAATTATAATTAAAGATAAAAATAAATTAAGTCAAACTACATTATATTATAATTTAGTAGGTTTGAACTTAACTTTCTTTAAAAATACATATCCTAAATATGACTTATTTATTTGTCATAAATATTTTTTTAAATGTTTATTTAGAATTGCACTTCTAAATACTTACTTTATAATAATTTAACACTAATAAAAATATAAAAATAAATATGTTAAATTTTATAAAAATCAAGTTTAATTTATTTATGATAGAAATATGTTTTTAATGTCTAATATAATTTTTTAGATGATAATTTATTTTAAAATATGTTCTAGGCTTAAATATGTTTTTAATCTCTCAAATTTAGATATTTCTTATTTTGATTTTTTAATTAATGTATACAATCTTACTATTTTAATTTTTTAATCAACATATACAATAAATAGAAAACACAAAAGATAAACATGCACTGCAAATTTTATTTCATAAAAATTAATTTTTTTTAATATATTACATTATGTATGTTGACATTAATATATATATATATATATATTATAAT